AAAAGAAATAGAAAGAAAAGCACACTAAAACACATCAAATAAAACAATAATGTACGAATATTTAGAAATCGAACCAAGACATCGACGTAAGGCCGAGGCGAGTGCACTAGCGTCACTCAACTGACACCTGTAAAGAATGAGAAATGAGTCGATTCATGCCGCCGTTTGCCGACCTTTTGTTAATAAATCATTTTTTTAAAAACTTAAAGATATTGTAGTTCCATCTCAGCGATCAAAAGAAAGCCGGTTTCTTTATAATTATTATTTCATTTTATTATTAACAAAAAGCTTCTAAGTTTCAGCTGAATGATAAGTTCCAATTATTTAGACGAGTCTGCAACTGCAACTTATCGCGCACGTAACCAATCTTATCCCAACCTCACCCCCCTTAGTTTTGAAAGTTGTTTTTTGCTTTCAGCTTATGATAGCGAAAGGAAGTATTACAGACAGTTCGACAATGAACGCTTTTTAAAAATCTTTAAAGTTGTTATTTTCTGGTCTGCTAGACATTATCTTCCGGTTTCATCTTTGATTATTTTTTTTCTCCTGTTTCTTTGATCGTTTCATCTATCTATTACTATAGCTTCTTCTGTTGACGACTCTTAGAACTCCATTGCTTGCGGTCTTAATCCAGGAGTTGCATGTTTTGTTACTCTACTTTCTGCTTGTGTTACCGACCTCAGAGGTGAAGCTATAAAGCCTGCACACACTGGAGTTTTAAGAGTCGTTAATATTATTTACGTCTCATAGTTTGTTCTATACCTTTTTATTCTAAGGAGATTGTCAGCATTCTTTCTGAAATTGTTTTAGCCGAGACTTCAAAAGATTTTGTAATACAGTGGACACTGAATATTTATTTGTCGTTTTGGCGTACGTATAAAAGATAACTAGTTAGGGATTTATACCTAACGAAAACAACTTACTATGGTTGTATTCTATTTTCATCGTATCTATCCATAAAGGCTGAATCGCAGCGAGAATGGTCCATTTATTGTCAAAGTTAGTCATATTCAAAGTCATGCTCGACGATTATTCTTTTCGATATCAGCTCGTCCGTGCATCCACACAGACTGGCTGGAAAAAAACATTCATTATATTTTACTAAATGAAGTATTTAGTAATTGACGATATTGGACTCTACATGGGTCTGGTTGTTTATGAACCGTATACATCCATTCATTGGTCACAGAAAGACTAGGGGGAGGGGAGGGGAGGTGGGGAGATGAAACCATGAGCTTCAGGATGCCGGTCGGATGCTCTACCAATGAACTACAGGAAAGACCCTTCTCTATTTGCAAATGAAGTAGCCTAGGAATAATTCCAATTTTACCTCGGTTGGAATTGGTTCACATGGACCAAAAGGACCTTTGAGTGTCAAACAATAGTACAGTCTATTATGTTACTGCCTCGCTCTATTGTTTGACACTCAATTTGCAAATAGGTCCATGTGAACAAGTGCCAACCGTTTACCACTAGCTTTCTCACGCTTATGAACGATGAACGGTTTCTTAAAGCCGGCGAAAACAGGCCTTTTAGATACGCCTGACTGTTGTTAGGCACAAGACCCGATATCAAGGCACAATATTTTTGAATGGGTTTCCATGAGAACAAGCATTACCCATATCAGAATACCGCCATACGTAAAGTCATATTGCATCTGATCATGCACGGCGAATGTTAATGGTTGGTAAGGTTGTTTCGGAACCATAGATGAAGTCATTATTATATTGGTCATGTAATGATTGTAAAGCAATCTATGTTTAATTCTCAAAAACAAGATTGATTGAATATTTCATGGAATAAGCTGAAGAGAAAAAATAGATTTTTATATTAGTTTATTTATTATTTTATATGCTTGAATGTATTTACTCTATTTCATCTTATATATTAATATATTAATTCCATTCATTCATCCTTCCATCCATCCACTCATTCATTCATTCATTCATCCATCCACTCATTCATTCATTCATTCATCCACTCATCCATTCACTCATTCATTAATTAATTCATTCATCCACTCATCCATCCATCCATTCATCCATTCATTCATTCATTCATCCATCCATTCATTCATCCATCCACTCATTCATTCATCCATCCATCCACTCATCCATCCACTCATACATCCACTCATTCATTCATCCATCCACTCATTCATCCATCCACTCATTCATTCATTCATCCATCCATCCCCTCATCCATCCACTCATTCATTCATCCATCCACTCATCCATCCACTCATTCATTCATTCGTTCGTTTGTTCGTTCGCTCGCTTGTTCATTCAACCATTCATAAAATAAGACTAAGAATATTTAGTTATTTAAAAATCTAATTCGTATTTTTTAGCTAGCATGTAATGTTTGTATCTTTACGAAAACACATTACCCCGCTCAACGAACCACAAAGCGTTCCCGGTCACTGCGCATGACCGAGCATGTATATCAACTTCCCAAGAATCTATTTACATGACAGATGTTTGTAGGAAAACATGTTTTTATCCTAATAAAATACGTAGCCCTGCTGATTTAAAGTTATTATTATTAGAGGAGAAGTTTTTTTGCCTAGGAACTTTAATGTCTTTGTAGTGTGTGTGTGTCAGTGGGCTAAATATTCAATTGAATTGAATTAATATATACAATTGTTATTTAGCTATTTTGCATTTTACAAGTTCATTAGTTTACACTGTTACGTTTTTAGCCTCATGAAATAAAGTTGGTTATTATTATACTGAATTTTAAGAAAGAAAGAAACAAAAGAAAGAAAAAAAGAAACAAAGAAAGAAAGAAAGAAAAAAGGAATTTAGATTTTTTCTGATTTTTCTCCAGTTTTCATTTTCATTGAATGAAAGACACACGAGCATTA